TGGGGCCCTCGGCGTGAGCAGCAACAGCTGGTCTACCACTTGGTCTGCCACCAGCCTGTTTGCTGAGGGTTGAAGGTCTCGAGTCAGGAGTCGTCATGTGGCTGTGCGGACTCGGTGATAATAATTGACAAACATCTTCTTGGTTCTTTCGGTAAAGTCACGTAGAATGGAAATAATAAAATAATAAAAATACAACATAATAAAATAATTCTCACGACGTTTCGGCCACAACGCAAGCAGCCGTCTTCAGGTGGAGAGCAGGTCTGTTGTGGCCGAGACGTCGTGAGAATTATTTTATTATGTTTTATTTTATTATTTCCATTCTACGTGACTTTACCGAAATAACCAAGAAGATGAATCCCTGCAGTCACGAAAGCTTTAAATCGAAAAATTGACAAACACTGAATCTCAAGAGTGTTTTCTTTGTGAGGGTCCTGCTTTTTGATATTCGGTGTAAATCTGTAAAGGGTTGTTATGTGTGTGGGACGAGACCGGAGTTCCCTGTGGACAACCCACACGTACTTGGGGTTTAACACTCAAAAGGCCTGCGCAAACGGATTCACGAACCCACCTCCTCTACTGCCACCTCCTGGACAAGCTGGGCGGGTTTGGCAGTTTCACAAATGTGTGTGACTTTGTTGACTATTGATTCCACAGCACGAGATTATAGGCATGTGCCACCATGCTTGGCTAATGCCCAAATCACGGCACTGAGCTGACACCGCTAAAGCTTATTCTTATCAGCAACCTGAGATGAAAGCCAGTTTTGTCTCAATCTGTTCACCAGTTACTCATCAAAACACTAACCATCGCTTAATTTAATTTTGCGAGATTAAATTCATGCCATCCTGAGATTAGAATGTTGGTGGTTATGAGTGAAATGACCCATCATTTTGCACTGACAATGTTTCCTGGGTTCAGGTGCTGTTCCCTCTGCTGACCAAGCTGCTTGAGAACATCAGCCCGGCTGACCAGACGGGCATGGAAGAAACGCGCATGAGGACCTCAACACTGCTGAGCAAGGCAAGTGTGGTGACATTGCCACGTGTTGTCTACCTTGGAGTAAAAGTGTGGCTACTCTGCTGCTCACAATCGAGACTTGACGCCCCCTGCCTGCGACTATCGTAGTGCTGTGTGTGTGTGGGGACCTGTAGGGTAGTGATTAGCGTGCTGCGCTACGAACACGGCGACCCAAGTTCGATTCCCGCTCACAGCCAACACCAGTGACAATTATCTGAACCGGTCCTGGGTCTCTCCTAGGTTGACTCAGCCTCAAATGAGTATCTGGTGCGGTGTGTAAACATCACCACGATGGAGACAAAGGCGGCCGGGCGTGGTGCTGGCCAGCCACCCCCTCGTGTACCCTGCCGGCCTTCATAGATGCTCGCTTAATAGTACAAGAATAGTCTGTTAAGGCTATACGGGGGATGTTTGTCTTTGTTGTCTTTGGTATTAGCAAGGTTGGAACAGTGAGGAGCACAAGTGTGATGCATCTGCCAGTCATCTCAGTTACTTGACTCAGAACAAGCAGATCTGCTCCGTGACCTGCCAGCGAGTCTTCGACTCTTCCCCGTGGCCTTCAAGGGCACCAAGCGTTGGTTCAGGCCTGTTTGTGGTGTCGGTATCACTGGCGAACAACGGTTGTCGTTGTTTCGGTGTCGTTCCCCCTTCAGGTGTTCTTGCAGCACCTGTCTCCACTGCTGTCACTGCCAACCTTTGCCGCACTGTGGCTCACCATCCTGGACTTCATGGACAAGTACATGCACGCCGACAACAGCGACCTGTTGGTGAGGAGCCGAGACTGTGTGTTGATGGCGACCTCTGGTGGTGATAATTTATTTTCACATTTTACAATCACTTTTGACTTCCCATCAAGGGTGAGGTACCCATTTTTTCGACCCCGAAGGCATCGTGTCATGAAAAGGACAAATCGATGTGGAAACCTGACTGAACATTGTACCCCATTACAGAGTAGCAGCTGCACTTTCTCATACTCTCTGCTTCGAGATTGTTTGTCCACGATAGTCAAAGCAATATTTTTCATTCTCAGGGTAGGAATTTTTCCACATTAAGGCAAAATAAAAATTGTAATATTTTTGTGTGAAGTCATCGGTGACTGGGCCAAGACCATGGACTCCGCCACACTTGAGATCCCCAGCGGGTTTACTCACAACGGCGCTGCCTCTGGATTCAAACCCATGTGGAGGGGTGGCCATTTCTCCACCAACCACCCTTCAATCACTGTGTCCTTGTCTTTCCTACCCGAGATGGAGGCGATCCCGGAGTCGCTGAAGAACATGCTGCTTGTCATGGACACAGCGGGCATCTTCCAGAATGCGGAGGCGCGCACGGGCTTTTCCCAGCTCTGGGAGATTACGTGGGAGCGGATCGACTGCTTCTTGCCCCAGCTACGGGACGAGCTCTTCCGCCAGCCGGTCATCCCAGGTACCAAGCTCGTGGATACTTTCTAAGCTGTGTATCACGCGCGGTCTTGCACGCCTCGTGAACTTCACTCATTTGTAAAAATTTCAGATCAATCTCGGTGTTGTCGCGCTCTTCTCGTGAGGTCAACGTGACATCACTCCCGCGCGTGTTAATAAAACTTCAATGGCCGCGTGACCGGACACCCTTCCCGTGCGTTCGTTGCCGTCGGCAGAGTCGGCGGCACGAGCCCCGTCCCCGCCCGTCGTGCTGGAGGTGGTGAGCAGTCAGCCCGTCACCTCCACCGGCGGCCACTCTGCCCCAGAGACGAGCAACACCGCAGCGGCGGCTGCTGCTGCTGCTGCTACGGCAGCCGCGGCTCCTGCGACGGAGCCAGGTGTGGCTCTTCACTCGGCAACACGACCACCTGCCCCCGCCCCCCAATATTAACTCGTCCGCAATTGTTCTGGTGGTATTGTACATGTACAGCCCGTTTCTCAATCCACTGCTGGTTGAGTGCCTCCCCACGCCGCCGGTCAGTGTGTATTGGTGATGTCATAATTACAGTGTTGTTGTTGGGAAAAATTTCAAGGCATAGATCTGGCAATACTCATTCGTCTTAGATATTTGTTACTGCAATGCGTACTGTGCATGCTCAAGCAAAAAATGTTCGTTGGTTCCAATTAACATATTTTAAAAGTACATATATTTAGGGCAAGAGGCGTTTGGATCATCGAGCGTGAATAGCATCCTTTGCCCCAGTACCAGCAAGCTTAGCTCACCCCTCAAACCAGAGGTCGCACTCGGGTACCCGATACCCGTACCCTACCCGATACCCGGCTACCCGTACCCGGCCGGATACCCGGCCGGGTACGGGTAGCCGGGGAGCCGCACATGACTCACCCCAACCAATGAGTGAAAAGGCCGTGAGTCACTGGTGAGTAACCGTTTGCCACTCATTTCCCAACGTCTTGTCTCTTCTCACAATTCAAGTTCCTAGAATCAACCCACCCACGCCTGCAACATGGCTTCATCCCAGAGGTCGCAATCAGGTATCCGATACCCCTACCCTACCCGATACCCGGCTACCGTACCCGGCCGGGTATGGGTACGGGTACCCGTTTGCGACCCTGGTGCGGCCGGGTACGGGTACGGGTAAAGAATCAAAACCCGTTTGCGACCCTGGTGCGGTCAGGGTGCGAGTACGGGTAAGAAATCAAAACCCGTTTGCGACCTCTGCCTCAAACCCCTCTACCTTCACCTGTGCTTGCAGAGAGGCCCTCTGCAGCCACCGCCAGCACAACGGTGACGCCCGTGCCGTCGCCGGCCTCCAGCCCTGCGCGGGTGGGCGGCAGAGCCGGGGGAAGCCCCGTGGGCGAGGTGGCGCACGCGCTGTCGCAGTCGCCCTTCATCCTGCAGCCACCGCTACCGGCGCTCGGCCCGACTCTCCAGGAGGCGTTGCCGCCCATGGCGCTGCCGATTATCCTCAACCCAGCGCTCATCGAGGCCACGTCGCCCGTGCCGCTGCTCACGGCGCCGCGCGGCGTGTCCGTGGGCGAGACCGCCGCTATGCCCAAAGCCCTGTCCGGGGAGGCCGAGTGAACCCGACGCCGCCACTCGCCGTCGATCGACCCCCCGTCCCCCGGGGTTGCCACGTTGAAGCCGTCATCTGAGCCCTCCGGTCACTACGTGTAAAAGTCACTTGTAATTAACGAGCAACGTTGTCTCTTATAACATATTTTAAAATGGTCTGTGATTCTGGCTGGCTTTTTTTTTGGAAACTCTAGAGGGTTTGACTGGTCAACGTGTTTACAGTAATTTAAGTTTAGGCTATGAATTCTGGGTAGATGGCTAACTCACGGAAGCCAGTGTCAACCCTAAACAACCCTGGTGAATGTGTCACACGTGCTAAACCATTTAAAGTTGTTTCGTTCGACATTCTTCGCTCAGTTCCAAGCTGCGAGTAGTCGCAAACTGTAGTTGTTTAAAGAACTGAATTCTCATTGGCTACACTGAGTCTGCATGCGCATTTTACACATTGCAGTGAATGCTAACCAAAGGCTGTCCTGAGTTAAACTATTTAAACCTGATGGCATACCTAACTGTAACAAGTTATAACCAAGGTAGCATGGGAAGTTAATGTATTACTTTATAAATTAAAAATACAGTTCTGCTTGCCATTTGCAGCTTTATTGTATGATGCTGTTATTTGCATTTCATCCAGAATAGCTTACTGTGGAAAAAAAGGACAAATTACTCATTTGGAAAGTGGCCTACTGCTTAAATTGTATATAAAGCATTCAGCTCATGAAGAAAATGTACTTTTCACTTTGTAAGAAATAAATCTATAAGTGTAATTACGATTAAGAGTTATTCAATAAAGAAAAGTAATATTATTCAAAGATTAATCATGTTTATTGTTGACATATTTTGAACACATGATTGCAATACATTCATATCAGATACAATGCAAGTGCTAGTATACATTCTCCTTAAGGCTATGCATAACTTTTGTGAAGTTAAATGCAAAAAGTGCCGTTCATAGAATTCAATTTCGTGATTGTAAATCAAGTGTGGACCGTTTTCACAAATTTTAAATAATTTTACAGGAAAATAATCACGTTTAACCTCAGAATCACACTGTAAAAATAAGTAATTTTAACACAACAATGCCCAGTAAGCATCCTACTGTTGGTTTATGGGGCTCACCAAATTAGTTTGTGTGATCCCGCATTTACACAAAAGCACTCATGCAGCAGTACATCATGCTTATCACGTGGATAAATACAAAACATTGATGTTCTACAGTTCAGCATATTTCCATTAATTATTATTATTACTACAATAATTTACCCAGGAAAGCATCACCGAGTCTCAAGGCAGCAGGATCTTGCTAAGTGTTGACAGTCTAGGGTGGACGATAGATGCACTTTCCCAATCAAGTAAATTACATCTTCTTGGTTCTTTCGGTAAAGTCACGTAGAATGGACTTTACCGAAAGAACCAAGAAGATGAATCCCTGCAGTCACGAAAGCTTTAAATCGAAAGTAAATTACAGGTAATTATTCAGCATTGGGATGTTTTGTCAACACCAGTTACATTATTGTATGTTTTTAGCTTTGGGAGGAAACCAGAAAACCCAGAGGAAACCCCATGCAAAACAGGAGGACATACAAACTCCACACACAAATGTGCTCAAGTCGGGAATTGAACCTAGGCCCTTCTGACTGAGAGGCGCAAGTGTTACCACTGCACCACCCAGCGTAGACTGCAAAAAAAATGCAGTAGTGATACCAATAGTGTAATTTTAATGGTGTGTATGCATTATTTAAGGCATATAGTGTAATTTATCCACACGTCTAAGAATGGATACAAAATATATTTTAACTCGAGGAAGGGCCCCCTCTTTTGAATTGCCAGGTGGTACCACTCTTCGATAGCTTAGACATGGCTTGTAGTTCACGGACCTTGGAAGGTGCGTTATTGTGTGTAACAAAGTGCTTGGTGGTAGTCAATGTGCAACCTAAGATTTCAAAGTCGGCATACCACGTTTGAGTATAAAGATCCCCTGTATAGCCTTAACAGACTGTAGGGGCAAGTGCTGTTAGCGAGCACCTATGAAGGCCGGAACGGTACACAAGGGGGTGGGTGGCCAGCACCACGCCCGACCGCCTTTATCTCCCCAGTGGCGATGTTTACACACCACACCAGGTACTCATTTCAGGCTGAGTCGACCTAGGGGAGGCCCAGGACCGGTTCAGATAATCGTCACTGGTGTTGGCCGTGAGCGGGAATCGAACCCGGATCGCTAGGTTCATAGCGCAGCGCGCTAACCGCTACACTACCGCTCCCCACCGTTTGAGTATACCCACTATAACACACACGCACTTAAATGCAACGCGAGGATAAAATAATAAAACGCCACCCTCGAACGTAGGCAGACTCCCGTGCATGTGCACCTCACTGCTGCAGCTGACTGCTGTCCAGCTTCGCCAACTCGTGCACGTAAATGCCGATGCTCTCACTGTCGTACAGCACGAAGTAGATGTTCTTGAGCGAGGAGTCCATGGTGGAGATGAAGTAGTTGGAGATAGCCTTGAGTATAAGTTGAGCGGCCGTCTGTTTCGGAAAGCCATTTCTGCAGGTGACAGTAACGCTGACATTTCTCACAAGGATAAAGAGATTCCAGAGCGTAATGTGATGATACAGCAGAGCAATTTTTTTAAAGGCACTTGTCACAGTCAATTGTTACCAGCATTACTTGGCGCACCATTTACAAATATAAATAAAAATCCAAATCTGACCATTGTATGTATGTTGAACTTGTTTCGCACCGTACGTAGCCAATCGTGCTAATTAGAAGTGCGGGGGAAGGACAACAAAACTAAACACAAAGCAGTAAGAAAAAAATTGTTTTCAATCTCGATTTAAATATGCATAGCTCCGGTGGCTTCCCAATATCGGAAGGAAGATTGTTCCAGACGGCCACAAAAGCACATCTCAATGCGCGCAATGCAGTGACCAATCATTTAATGATTAGCCAAAAGCCGCTGCGAGGGTGAGCAGAGCAAATTTATGATTTCCCTCGTGGGTAATGGAAATGAGTCACATGAATACCCAAAGTTCAGTGTTTTTAGGTCGTATCACGACCTGAGGTTATGTGCTCCACAGACCAATCACTGTTCAACAAATGCACTGCTTTCATTGGCGATTCAGAACTCGATCTGCCATTCTGATTTTGAGCTGCTATAGTTGCTCGTAGCAAATGCAACGACGTTGACAACTTCAGTGATACGATGAAATAATTTCTGCAAATTATATTTTTGGATAATGGTGGGTGGGGAGAGTAGGGGGTGGTGGTGGAACTACAAAAATATTTCATTACCCGCCACTACCAATGGAGGGCAGTGCCACCGTGACGAGCTTCTTTTCGTCAGCCAGTGCCAGACAGTTCTTGACCGTCTTCTCCAGGAGCTCCGCGCTCCGGTCCGTGCCCCACGATGGGCTGTTGCAGTGGATCACGTTCTCGGCCTCCAGGCCCGGTGCGAGGCTCATGGCAGCTGCAAGTAGAATCGGAATATTCATTATACTGGAGCAATCCGATGAGCTATAATGCTCTTTTTTTTTTTTAACATGTTCGGTAGGAGCAGGTCAGAACATTACAACAACAATACATGAACACGATAGTGCAAATGATAGGAATGTAATAAGCACGGGGGCAACAGGAGTGAGTGTCCATCGATTCGGGATGAAGGCCTCCCGTTTCAGGGCGTGACAAAAACTATGGCCCTCGTTGGCCTCTGTTACGATCGGGTTTTAATTTTTCTGGCGGATAATGCAGCCCGTTTACGACCATTGAATTACACCAACAGTAAGAGGAGAACGTGGATTGGCGAAAAAAAAAAGGCAATTAAATCGTATGTTGTAAACGAAAACAAAAAAGTACATTCATTTGGCAGAATACGTTCCCAGGTGAAGGATGATGACCAATGGACAAGATTGGCAACAGAATGGCAGACAAAGCAGGGAATATGTCCAAAGAAGACGACTACCGCCGAGATGCAGCGATGAGATCGGTTCATGTGCAGGACTGAGAAGAATTGCAACATCGCAGGATTGAGGGATGGCGATGGTGACCATAAACCAATGTAACCAAGAGGAAGATAACATACGTACGTTTATTTGATATATGGAAATGTGTATCGTTATTTAAAGCTTTTATTCACTACCAAATGAAAGCCTCCCCATGATGCGTTGGCTGTACTTCACCACGCTCGCCTGCTTCACAAGGAAAAACAAAGATTGTTTTCTTATTCCATATATACTTGTGTGCACGCGCAACAGGCCTGTAAGTATCGCCAAAGTGCACACACGCATGCACCGGCTCGTGAAAGAAGAGTAGAACGATTAATGAATGCGAATGCCAACCTCCAGCAATGTCCAGTGGCCCGTTGCTATTGCGAAGATTTTGCACAGCATCCGCCAGCTCCTTTCCTCCTTTCTTTGCCAGAGCATTGCCTGCAAACGCAAACACTTACTCCTCAAGCGAGTCGTCCTTCCCCTGCACACAAACTACATGTACAGCCCTTTTTCAATCCTTTATATTAAGTTCACTTGCGTGCTTGCTTGCTTGCTTACGACCGTGCAAATCTTTCGGTCGTTTTTTTACCCACTTCCCGTGATCCAATCGAGCTGACATTTTGCACACAGACTCGTTGTGCGTGACAATTAATTTTCGTGAAAAATTTTTTCCAAAATTTTACCATTTTTAGGAATTTTTTTAAACATGTAATTACCAATTGCTTAATGGTGGCAAACAATCATCTGACCCATAGGTGGCAGCCATCTCAAGCCAGAGGACGAGAGGACTCTAGCCGCCACGCATATAAAGGATTTATAGTGAAAAACTTTGCTTTTACGGGTTAATTTTTCAATCCACGGCTGGGCGAGAGCCTCCCCCCCCCCCCAATGCTGTTGTGAGCCATGGGGGTTCTTTGACCACACTCAACCGCAGTGGTCTGTGCGGGTTGCTGAAGGTCGGGGAACATAGACGTGGCAGCATAGGCTCACAGTACAACACTGCCGTCTGCTGCCCACAGGCTTGCACAAGTCCGCTGACGACAAACTGCTGTGCAGTGTGGTTTGCCTGTCCGAACACTATTCATTCAACTCTGCCCAAACCCAGAGATCTGACGATATTGGGCACATTCCAGGTGATTTGGTCCAAAGGCAAGCACAAAATATCGTGAAAAAAGCCAGAGGCTGGTTTGCGTAAATTACCCGAGTAGACATTTCCCCCCTTCTGTCATTTAAAGCAATGCTAGTTTGAAGGGTTAAGAAAAACATTACGGGTCGGGTTGTATTGAGCAACCGACAAGTTTCTTGGCGAAACGTTTCTGTCGGGTGTTTATCTCGCCGGCATCGCTCACCGACTTGTCCACCCATGTAGAAGTTGTTGCCCGTGGGATGGATGACGGCGTCGCATTTTAAGGTGGCAATGTCGGCCTTGACAACCTGCAGCTGCGCGGGGCACAGGCGGACTTGGTGAGCGTTTGTGTCCGTAGTTTGCAGGTGCGGCCGCGTGGTGCAAGCGGCGTGTCAGTCGGCTTTTGTTACCTTTTGCCCGAGGAAGAGGGTTTTGGAGGAGAGAACGGTGACAGCTCCTGATGCGCCTACTGAAGGACTTGCGGCTTTCCTGCCTTTACCCTGGGCAGACAACAAGATCCACCTACCGCGTCGAGATCACGTTTTACAAACAATAGTTTCACGGGAATTTGACTTGCACAGCAACTGCATTTAGAATAAGGAGAAACGCATTTGAGAATGTAAATTTAATTTGGATAAATGAAGGAAATTACCTTCATTAATACTGTTTTACATGTAAAAATTCTAATGCAGTGGTATTGTTTTTACACATCACTGATAAAGTCCTTAGATTTTCATATTAATAGCATAGTTCAATATCACCGCCATATTAATGGTAAACTTTCTAAAATATACATTAACCTTTCACTACATCAGACATCATGACAATAACCAACCAAAGCTGAAAGTAATTACTTATTTCAACGGTGTGTTTTTAAAATTGAGGGCTTAAAAGTCACGGCTGTGTGGTAAGATTCTGTTCAAATGCCCTATGATTGAGTGCAAATGCCCTGAGTTTCAATTGAAAACTCAATTAAATGCTGCGCTATCGGCCAAATTGCCAAAAAAAAAATCCCTAAATGATACATTTTAGTAGACACATATATACATACACAGTACGTGTGCGTAGTACACTTTTGCTCCATACCTTTTTCGCGGTTGCGCTGGGCTTGCGAGCAGGCTTGGCCGCTGGAGGTGGTGTATCCGTGGAATCCACGAGCACCGGTTTCGCTTTCTTGAAGGGTCTGTGGGTGAGCAGCTCTGGGTGGACTCTGGGCAGCACCCCGCTGCTCGCAATGGTCACACCACGCAGCATCTGCGTCAGACACAACACATCCCTCTGGCCACAGAAACATATAGTCTCTTCTCCTAGAACGTGGCATGTTTTCATAATGCAAATTGGATATAACGCGATTCATGTATTTGGGAAAAAAAATTTATAAAGCGATTGAGTGAACAGAAAAACTCCAATGAAAACATGACCCAAAATGATGACTTCATCAGCTCAGAACATGGTTTTGTTTAAAATAAGCAAATAATAAATTGGTGTATGAAAGAACAAATGGGAATCATCTTCTTGGTTCTTTCGGTAAAGTCACGTAGAAGGGAGATAATAAAATAATAAAAATAAAACATAATAAAATAATTCTCACGACTTTTCGGCCACAACGCAAGCAGCCGTCCTCAGGTGAAGAACAGGGCTGTCGGAAAGACAACGTCTTTTATCTCCCTTCTACGTGACTTTACCGAAAAAACCAAGAAGATGAATCCCTGCAGTCACGAGAGCTTTAAATCGAAAAACAAATGGGAAGTCACGAAATGTATTTATTTTTTATTTTGTGTGAACCAATGGCACGGAACATTGAGCAGGAATTACCTTCTGTAGCTCCTCGTCCAAGGCCATGGACAAGTGGATGTGGCGTGGGGTGATGCGCGCCTTCATGCTGTCGCGCGCAATGTTCCCTGCCAGTTCCAGAACTTCGGCTGGTGAACATAGCACAGACATTCTTATATCAACCCTATTCTACTGCACGAGCAATCCATTGAATCGCTGAGTTGCATCGTCATCCGTCCCGACTGGACATCTGTGAAAAGAGCTTCATCGTTCATTGAATTTTCTCCAGGATAAATATTCTGATTCTATACACTGAAAGAGTATTTCAGTGTATAGAAATAAATGTATTGCTTTATATACAACTCGAGGGAAACCCGTCCAATGAACATGTTAATTTGACACTCAGCTGACACCTGACCCTCATCACCACCAGTCACCTGACATCTGAAATCCACCTCGACACTTGGTTTGTGCGTCCAAGTGTAAGACTGGCTGCCTGATAATTCTGCAGAGACATGCTTACACGAAGCCCAATAACATCCCTTACCTAGCAGCGAGTGCACTGCATGATGTAGTTTCCTTTATTATCAAGGTCAATTGTTATCTTTGCCCCATGCTATCCACAAGCTGGATCATGTTTACTTACCTGGGTTAAAGTTCACGTGTTGTTCACAGCTCATTTTCAAAACATTAGGTCCCTGGTTTATTCTGGCAGAATGAACCCTTAATCATCTTTGTGCAAATACAATTACTCTGAGTAAATGATGTAACCGACACTGACAAATAAACTGACTGACAAATATTTGTATATTTCTACTTTGAAACCGATTTAGTGAAAGAATATCGGAGTAAACAGAACACCTGGGGGTTTGATAAAACATGCTGCAGTGGCTGAACGTGTACGCGTAACTCGTCGCGGAATGGACTAATTTGGCAGCATTCAGATAAGCCCCTCCCCCCTTAACTTGTATTTAAGAGCTCGTCTCTTGGAATTGTGCCTCACTGGATACAGTAAATCTAGCTGTGACGGTCCCACCTGGTGACGGATACTTGTGTTGCCTCCGAAACGTCGTGATTTATAATTTTTATTTCTATTATTTTTATTCTTTATTTTTACTCACGTGACTTTACCGAAAAAACCTAAGAGTACTTTGGCAGCGCTTCGTGTAACAACCGCCGCCATCCATCCGGTGGTTGTCGCACAAGCAGCAGCGAAGCAAATAAATGACAACCCGGCCCGCGCGCAAACGGGGGACTCCTCGTGTCGACGTGAGGGCGAGTGGGAAAGGGGCCCAGAGCCGCACCGGCCAGGTACTCCGTGACGGCCGCCAAGTAGATGGGGGCACCCATGGCGATGCGCTTGCGGTAGATGCCGGTCCGCAGGTACCGCAGCATCCGTCCCACCGGGAAGAGCAGGCCCGCCCGCGCCGAGCGCGACTGCCGTGGGACTTTCTTCTTGGTGCCGCGTGTCGACATTTGCCTCCGTTCTTCGACAAAGCTTCTCGATTCAGGACCTGGGCGAGTACAGAAAAATGTCATGTACGTGCATTTAGGAAATTGAATAACACAGCCATTAAAAAGATATTCTGTTTACACGTGCAAACGGGTTTTTTTGTCCATCGAGCTATCATTTATGGGACCTCTTGTTACAATGTGTTCCAGCAGCATTTGTTTTAAAAAGCAAACTCTTTACTGGTGTCCACTTTTTGAGCCTCATGTGCAAACGTGCAATGCTAAACACTGTTAGATTGCCAGATGTAACAGTCAAGATCCACTGACCAAACATGTGGATCCCATTTAACCCAAAACAGATTGTACATACACAGATAAACTACCTGTAATTAGGTAAAAGCACACTGGTGCTAAAGTCTATGTTTGCATTTGGGGCCGTCCATAAATGACGTCACGCACCTGGGGGGGGGGGTCAGACATTTGTGACTATGTGTGACGATGGGGGGGGGGGGGGTTTTGAGAAATGTGACGTCACATCAAAATGCGCAACTTTAAATAAATATAGACAACACGTTCTACTTTATTAAATATACTTTTTAATAAATGTTTCTCCTACAACATCAAAGTGCAGCGCCACATTAAATACGCACTACAATGACAATAGTTTAAAGCGATTTGAAGCATGTTTTATTTTTGAGGGGGGGGGGGGGGGGCAGAGCTTTGTGACGTCATATTTGAGTGGGGGTCTGACTTTGTGATGCCGTGTGACGAAGGGGGGGGGTAAAAAATCGTCCAAAATCGCGTGACGTCATTTATGGACGGCCCCTTTGACACACCATAAAGGGGCGTTTGTTGACCTTTTAGGACTTCACAGAATTCCATCAACTCAGTCCTCTTGCGAAACAGGCATTGAAGTGCCTCGTCACTTTAAAGTCATTACGGCACTCAGCTGACATCTCGCTGTCAAACTCTAATAGGTTTAAGGGCGGAGGCGATGCCACCAATGGTCATGAAGTTACAATCGTCGCATAAAACACATTTAACCTCGCGTAAAAAACGTATCCACTAACACCCCCTGAATACGAAGCGTCAACACGCATCGAATACAACCCACGTCCGTAAACTCCCCCACAACAACAACAACAACGAGAACAGCGCAAAGTAAGGACAAGTAAATGGAACATCTCAGAATGTTAAAATGTTGGTGGCAATTGCTCTCCAACACAGCGGCGTGCTGAACCAGTCACGAATTACCACGTTCTGTTCACGCCACAAGCCTTACTCATCGGCCGCGTGGGCTGGTGGCGAGTTTAACGACACGTATATTTAGCGATCTATGTACAAATGTAAGCGTTTATATTGATCGATCTATCATACCCACGGCCTAAGCAGGAACACGCGGGCGGGCGAGCTCTCGACCAATCAGAGGCGACCCCCTCTCTGTGCATGTGTGCGTGTGTGGAGGTGGAGGGGGGGTAGGGACCCCTACTAATCCGCGGTGCGAAATAAAAACGTCGCGTCGCAATTCGACCCACCCAGATCCGACGGTGCGGGGAGGGGACCTAATTCAGGACTCACCTTGTTGTTGTCGTTGTGTTGTTGCAGCCGGGACCGACTCAACTCACTCGCTCGTCGAGGCCTGGATACACCACAGCAACCTCACTCGTGGTGGTGGGTGGGGGTGTTGTGACGTCACGCGGGAGGCGTGGCTTCTCGTGCGGACCAATCAGCGAGCGCGACTCATTAGCATCACATTAGCATACCGGGCAAGCCCGGGCCGACGTGAGGCCCTGCCCCCCCACGTGGCTCCAATTGGTTCGTTGGTGGACGAAAACATTCGATCTTTCCTTATCAATAATTCATTATTGATCGCAGCGTTAGTGCGTTATACTGTTCAAATGGGGCCCATAGGGGGGTGATGTGTTTGTTCAGTCGACTTTGATTGCCATTCGTCTTTTCACCATCCAATGGTGTCGAACTTCTTTCGCACCGTACCTAGCCACACGTGCTAATCATAAATACAGTGCTTATTAGTCTACCCTGAAACCCCAACTTTGCAGGCTTCTCCATCGAGTTCATATTGCCTGCAGTGGAAGCTGTAATATATTAGCACCTCCGATTAGCACGGTTGGCTACGTACGGTGCTAAAGAAGTTCAACATGCTAGATAACTAGATAAATATCCCCCGTTTATACAATAAACAGACTATTGAAGCAAGTGCTGTTAACGAGCACCTATGAATGCCGGTACGGCACACGATGGGTGTGTGGCCAGCACCACGCCCGGCCGCCTTTGTCTCCCCGGTGGCGATGTTTACGCACTGCCCCAGGTACTCATTTGAGGCTGAGTCAACCTAGGGGAGGCCCAGGACCGGTTCAAGTAATCAGCACTGCTGTTGGTTGTGAGCGGGAATCGAACTCGTGCTAACCGCTCCCCACGCAAAGAATTAGACACGCGCACACGTGGATATGTTCACACATGTATACATTAGGGGCCGTCCATAAATGACCTCACGCACCTAGAGGGGGGGGGGGTCAGACATTTGTGACGATGTGTGACGAGGGGGGGGGAGGTTGAGAAATGTGACGTCACATCAAAATGCGCAACTTTAAATAAATATAGACAACACTTTCTACTTAATTAAATAGACTTTTTAATACATGTTTTCTCCTACATCAGAGTGCAGCGCCACATTAAATACGCACTACAATGACAATAGTTTAAAGCGATTTGAAGCATGCTTTATTTTTGTGGGGGGGGGGGGCAGAGCTTTGTGACGTCATATTTGAGGGGGGGGGTCCTGACTTTTTGTGACGCCCTGTGACGAAGGGAGGGGGGGTCAAAAATCGTCCAAAATCTCGTGACGTTCTTATATTTTTGTTATTTTTTCAGTCGCTGAAGTGCTCGGTGTGCAGGCGTAATGAGCGGGGCACCGTCGGCAGATGGCGTACAACGACCACCAGTGGTGCCGAAACATTCCTAACGCGACTGAATTTCAGACTCCACTGAGATTCCTTTCGTTCTAGAATTAGATTGAAATGGATGCACGTACTGTGTGTGAGTGTGCACATTAATATAACCCGTCCCATAGTCCCAAAATAATTGATGTCGATGAATAGACTATTCATCTTGACCCCCTGGTTGGTGTTCATGTTTTTGTTTTCTGTTTGTTGCGGTTGCACCCGATTCAAGAGCCGAATGGCTCACAGGGCTATACCTAATACATTAACTTGAACTTGACTCTGGAATGGATTGTAGCAATTACATTAGTGGTAAGAAAGAAGGCGGCTCTGTGGCTATGCTAAGCTATAATTTCATCTCAAGACTCGTTTTCACGAGGGTCCTGCATTGGAATGTTTTGATCTATTCCGTTCGTGAGCGTTTGACATGCGGGGATGAAACGAGAGTACTTAGAGAACCCCTACTGCTGACACGAGGAATTGCACTTTAAGCTCCTCGCACATTATTTACTAAAGAGCCAAAAATGTCCGTGTGTAACGCGCGTGACGTCACTTCACGTCGACCAGCCCCCCTCATTAATAATCAATAATCATGAGCAGGTAGGGTCCTCCACATAGACCCCCCCCCCCCGTCATTAATAATCATGAACGGGTGACGTCACTCCACATGAAGCAGGTGGAGCTTAAACGAACATTTGTTTACACAGATTATCTTTAATTTTGACCTTTCTCTATGGAAAGTAAAGCTAATAAATAAATCAACGCAGCAACTAACATCACTAGCCAATCAAGGCTGTGTGTGTCCCGTGCGTGATGTCACTCCACATGCCCCCCCCCCCTCATTATTATTCACGTGTGCCTGCATTTTTTAATCCTTTATATTAAGTTCACTTGCTTGCTTGCACGCTTACGACCGTGCAAATCTTTCGGTCGTTTTTTAACCCACTTTCCGTGATCCAATCGAGCTGACATTTTGCACACAGACTCGTTGTGCGTGACAATTGATTTTCGTGGAAAAAAAATTCCAAAATTTTACACTTTTTAGGAAGAAATAAATTATATTTAATTACCAATTGCTTAATGGTGGCAGGCAATCATCTGACCCATAGGTGGCAGCCATCTCAAGCCAGAGGACGAGAGGACTCTAGCCGCCACGCATATAAAGGATTTATAGTGAAAAACTTTGTTTTTACGGGTTCATTTTTTTGTAATGCTATCTGGCCACCTCGCAGCCAGAGCCTACAACACCTGGATGTACTGAAGGTCGTGGGTTCCATCCCGACCCTGATGCCTGTATACTTGGAGTTTGCGTGTCTGTCTCCGCGTGGTTGCGTGGGTTTTTTTTCGGGTCCTCCGGTTTTTTTCCTCCACATTTAGAAACATGCGTTTCGAGTATTTGGCTGCTCCAAAATAACCACGCGATAAGCCACTTCATTGAACTATCATTTGTGGCCAGGTCGCTTCTGAAGCACGCTACATAGCTCAGTGGGCCTTACCTGCAAAAAATATATATAGTTTATTTTGTTTTAATAGTTTAGATCTAACTCGATCTGACACCTGCATGGTGAGTTGGTCGCGTAACATTGGAGAGTTGAGTGGCGATGAACGTAACTCAATGGCACTTCCAGAATGCAAAGAATGTACAGATGCAAAAATGTTTTGCGCAGCCCCTATGTAAATCCACTGCTGGATGGATATATTCTCCACGCCGCCTCAGTCATGGGGATTGTTAAACCATACTTCACCACGCGTGTGAGTGCGGGTTGAGGAAGCGGAAGGGGGATATGGGGCAATGTGTGGATTTGTAGCGCAGTGCGCTAACCACCGCGCCACCGCTCAAATATACATACACTGCATAAAACATCTCTGTACCCTTTGCTTCCACGATCACACAAGAGGCAGCTATTGAGAAACTCTGCCATCGCTACGCACATCCCACGGGGGAAGGATAGTAGGATATTTTCTATGCCATTCCCACAAAACTCGAGTCTTCAGAACCGTATTATAAACGTTATCGTTTTTCTGGGCAAGCGGTGCATTGTTAGTGGAGAGTGGTTATATTTTTAGTAGCGTGCACGCATCCAAGCCCGCTCTGGGACCACCCTCAGCGCTACCTGTGCTCCTGGTGACCTTAATTCACGCGGAGAATTGTGGATGTTCACCTGCATTGCATCCGAAGAAGGCATTGCTTTGTTGTCGTGTTGTTTGTTTTTAAGGCTCCTTGCGAACCCCATTGCCTTAGCCTCTCTCCTCGCTCTGCACGTCGCTTTTACTTTCACCCCATTTCGTCCGAGATTAATTGGAACCTACTTGGCCGCATTACAATCGTACGTTTTGCTTCACCGCCACAATGGCGAGTCGGTAACTACCTCGCCTGGTACGCAGGTCGTGGGTTCGATGCTGACCCTGACGCCTGCTGTATATTTGGAGTTTGCATGTTCTCCCCGTGGTCGAGTGTATTTTTCTCCGGGTCCTCCGGTTGTTCCCTCCACATTTAAAATCAACACGTCTCTAGAGTATGTGGCTGGTTGATATACGTGTAGTGTCCTCCTCGCTGTGTGTGTGTGTGGTGCACACACTCAGTCGGAGACGAGGTAGTTGCAAGAGGCACCTTCTCTCTCTCTCTTTATTTCCATTACACCAACTCCGGCCTCCCTTCTCGATCACGTTTCTGTACAAGCCCAGCCTGGACACAACCCTGACCGCGTTGCACCGACGGCGTCGACCGAGACAGCCAACCACTGCCCGGCCGCGCAATGCCCGGGCGAAGGCGGCAACGAAGACGAGACGAGTCCACTCCCAGAACCGGCAGCCCGGAGCTCTCGCTCTCCGCTGCTTTTAATCTCCTCGGCGCGGCCTGGCTTTGCCCTGGCCGCGCCTCCCTTCTCGAACCCACTAGAGGGTTCCAAGGGCCTCCCAATGAGGTCTTCCGTGACCTTTGCCCCAGTTCCTCCGCCCTTCCGGCACCCATGCCGTGTATATGCTCGACGTCGTGTGCGCTGTCCACCGCAGTTGCCGCTGCTGGACAGCAGTCGGCGCTGTGTCACTACACATGTCCACGTGATAAGCCACTCCGTTGAGCTATCGTTTGTGGCCAGGTCGCTTCTGAAAAATAACTTTAAAAGCTCAGTGGGCCTTCCCGAGTAAAATAACAAAAAAATACATTTTAGTTTAGTTTCACTTTTAGGAAAGGCAAGTGTTCCAGTGATATTTTCACTTTGAGAAAACATGTGAATTGTTTTATATATTTAATCCGTTTTAAGATGATGCTATGTTTCTTCACAGCTGATATTTGTCACTGGACCATAACAAATATAATCACTGGCAGCCTGTTGTCAATCCACTGCTGGGTGAAGGCCTTGCCACTTAAGGTCAAAGGTCGCGAAGGTTGTTTGACCATACTTCTGCCATGCTGATCGGTGCGGGCTGGTGAAAGGTTGGATCCACAGGGGGGAGGACTGACGGCCGGGCGTAGTGATAACCACACCGCCCTGTCGTGCACCAATTAGGCCTTAACAGGTTCTTGCTAACAAAGCTTGCCCCAAGCAGTCTATACAAGTCTGAAGAAGGGATGTGTATTCTACTGCGTGGGTTTCTGTGGTTTATTTTGCCTTATAGCTCTCCACTGGATTTTCGGGTTATACCAACATTTTTCTCCGTATGCTGAGAGCTTCCTTAATTCCTGAAGCTGCGCTCAGTATTATGTGGAGAGAAACGTC